AATTAATATGGTTAATGCTATTGGTGTACATGTCTTATTTCTTCCTCCTTATTCGCCAGATTTCAATCCAATTGAAACAGCATTTTCATTTATAAAAAGCTATCTTAAAAGAAATCATGATTTTGTACAAGCAAATGCTGATCCAATTTATCCAATTTTAGCTGCATGTTCTGAAATATCACCTGATATAGCAAAAAAATTCTTTCAGCATTCAATATATTTATAATAACTACCTGTGTGATGTTGTCTGCAAAACCAGAAACAGGGTAATTAGTATATTATAGTAATAGATATTAAGAGGATTTTCTAAATGTATTTTCACTATATTAAATTCTAATAAATACACACATGATATGCTTATTAGTAGTCTATGCTTGATTTATAATAAAGTGCAAAGTATATATGTTTACATTTATAAATTTAAGCATAGTGTACGTCACTTTGTAATCAGTAAACTAATCCTCCTTTATATAATAAATATTTCTAACGAATATGTTCACAAAGTTCACAATCATGCTCTTATTATAAATACATTTAGCAAATTAAATATATTGCAACATCTATTGTAAATTATGATTACTATTTATAGATCAGCTCAATTGTTAGAACTTAACCGAATGTGATCTAAATAACTAAGTGACCAAGTCAAAGGTCATATAGTCATTTCGATTTATGTGACCTATATACTGTGCATATAAGCAAACCTTCTTATGAGTAGTCAAGAATCTACAGCCGTATTTTTTACATTTATAATGTAGCGTTTTACAAATGAAAATCAAAATTAAAACTGTCTCTGTTATATCACTTGGTCATTCGTAATATGACCATAGTGACTAATAATTATAGGTTATGTGTATTGTGACCATGGTCATTTTAAAAAAAGCAAAATGACCTCAACACTGATTGACATAGATATTGATATAAATATAAATTTTACGATTTAATAAAGAAAACCATTATAACAACAAGCCACATTTATCTAAATCAATTTCATGCACATATTACAGAATAAGGAATATAATCTTTTGTGTCATTAGACAAAAAACCTTATATTATACATACGAATATAGAATCCCAAAATGCATAAAGATAAATTATCCAATTAGATGCAAAAAAGGTACATCACTTCACTTGCCTGGTATATAAGTAACTGCGCAAAAATAAATAAATAATAGTACTTATCTCTTAGTTTTAATATTTTTTAATTTAAATTTACGAATCTGTAGAAGTTAAATAAAAAAAGTTCATTGAATTTGGCTTGGTGGATATCAAGATATCTCTGCTCAAAGTTTAAACAAAGTTTGGCACAACTTTTATTTTTAATAGATATTTTAAATTTTTTTAAAACTTTGAGTAGAGATATTTTGACAACTATTAAGCCAAATTCAATGAATGCTTTTTTATTTGAATTCTACTGATTAATAGAATTTAGATAAAAAAAAGTTTATCAAATTTGGCCTTGTGGATATTAAGATATCTTCACTCAAAGGTTAATAACAATTTGGTACAGCTCTTATTTTAATAGATATTTTGGATGTTTTAAAACTTTGAGTGAAGATAACTCAACACCTACCAAGCCAAATTCGATGAATTTTTTTATTTGAATTCTACTGATTTGTAGAATTCAAATAAAAAAAAGGTTATTGAAGTTAACTTAGTAGTTGTCAAGATACTATCACTTAAAGTTTAATATACAGAGAGATATAAATAACAAAATTAGAGTATAATAACAACCACTATAATATATATACCTTTTTTTGAGTAATATTATATTGTTCTAAGTAACGATATATTGTTGAAATCGATACCCATTTTCCAGTTATTATGCCCAATTCATATTGTAACTCATCGAGATACAGATCCACTTTTTTTTGAACTATTTTTTTAAAAATCTAAAATAAACTATATTTAATATATTTTATATAATTTTTACTTATAATAAATAGATAAATTTACTTTTATATCATTATTATTAAATGATCTTTTCCAACCAGAGGCTTCCTTAAATGGATTTTTTATTTGATGATACTTGTTATATATATTAAGTGTGTTTTTTATTAAAGTTTCACTTATATATAAAAGTTTTGCAATCTCTTGTTTGCTATAACTATCTTGAGTAAGGTAAACTATGCGTGATTTTAAATCTTCGCTGTAAGTCATTTTTATAATTTTAAATTTGTATAAATTTTCAAAAAACTTTAATCGCTCAAAAATATACACAAACTAAAACTAAGCTAAACTTTATTTTTATATACATTTATAAAAAAAATTATACAATTGTTTACAATCACACACAATAACATACAATTACATAAAATTACTTACAATTACATACAATTATGCATATATACAATTGATTGCAATCGAACAATCAAATATGTAGCGAATCTACAAATTTTGATTAAAGTCACATTATTTGCAAAAAAGATAAGTAGTTACTAAAATATCTTCGCTTATAGTATTTTTAAAAATACAAAATATTTATTAAATAGGAGCTATATTAAGTTTTTTTTTAAAGCTTTGGGTGAAAGTACCCGAGCAACCACCTGATAAAATTTAGTGAAGCTTTTTTATTTGAATTCTATGTATCATAGAATCAAAAATAAAAAAATTTATTGAATTTTGATCAAATGGTTACTAAGATATCCTTACTTAAATTTTACGCTAATATTATGATGAAAATTCATGATACCCACCTTGATTTTGAAAAGATCGGTCTAAAGTGGTTGAATAATATGTTAAAATTTTGCATTTTGAAATATTAACTCAAATAAACAAGAACTCATAGAGTTACTACATTTTTTCACTCTTGTACCGCAAACAGATTTGTTTTTTTTTATGTTTTTTTTTTAAAAAAAAGCTTTGAGCAAAAATATTTGATAAATTTCTTTTTATTTGAATTCTGTACTTCCATAGAATTCGAATAAAAAAAATTTTCATTAAATTTGATTAGGTTATTTCTGAGATATCTTTGCTCAAAGATTTAGAGAAAATTGATACAGCTTAGTTAAAAACTTTGTGCAAAGATATCTCGGCAATCACCTAATCAAATTCAATGAAATTTTTTTCTTTTGAATTCCTATGGATCTATAGAATTCATATAAAAAAATTCTCATCAAATTTGATTAGGTGGTTACTCAAATATCTTCGCTCAAAGATTTAAGAAAATTTTGGCGCAGACAATAAACATTGAAAAAAAAACTGTGCGATGATATCTTAGCAACCACCTGATCAAATTTGATGAATTTTTTTTTATTTGAATTCTATAGATTTATAAAATTCAAATAAAAAAAATATTCGCTGAGAAATTGCCTATAATCACGCACAATCATGTACAATCATGTACAATCGATTGCAATCAGATGCAGTGACCCACAAATTTTATCAAAAGTCACATCAATTTGCAAATAGCGATAATTGAACCAACTAGTTAAACTAGTTAGTTAGTACATTAAAATCTGTAGTACAATATAAACTCTAAATACCTGGTTAGACTATCTAACATTCCTAATTGTGGTTGATCTGTTACAGAGCTAAATAAAATAGCAATATGAAAAACTTATATATATGATCGTGATAATTTATTGATATATTGTAGCTTGCTTTACTCTGGAAGCTATGAATTTTTGATTTATATTTGTGCATTATGTGAACTTTATATATCCTTACTATTCTTAACTGAGATATGGATAATGTTAATAATATGCAAAGGTGCCATATATTGCTAGAATTGTAAGTTCAGCAAAGAAGTTTTTTACAATACACGAATTCTTTAACAGAAAAAAGTAAGTAGCAAAAGTCATAATAATTCTGATGAAACTAACTTAAAATATATTTTAATAACCTGAAAAAAGTTCTGTACTAGAAGTAACGAATGATTTTGAAAGAATTCACGTGATTAAAACATAGGCAAATGGCTAGTATGTACATATTTATTATAATCATAATAGAGTGCATATGCAGATTTGTCTGTTTTAGGAATATAAATTAATAAAGTTTGATCTATTTTATTTTTGACCTGTATGACCCGGGTTAGACTAAAATTTGACCTGTGACCCATCAAATTTTTGACCTGTATAGGTTAATGTGACTCAGATAACAGCTCTAGATCTACCAAATTACAACACTAAAATGCTAAAACAGTAAAACACAAACACTAGAACACTAAAACATCAAATCACAAAACATGTCACTTTGTGTACCTATAGTACACCATAAATTTGGTTTATTACGTGGAATTGGAAGAATAGATAATGTAAAAAAAATATTAAAATTATTATTAGAAATGGCATGTTTGAAGGCATTTAAAGATATATAGTGGGATATTTATTTTTAAAAAGGATTATAAATTATGATATCTAGAGAATAAAGAGTTGTAATAAATATTATTATAATTTTATTTTTTTGGGCCTTGATAAATTATTTAAGAATAAATCAATATTATAATTCAAACAAGTTACAAGGCTATTGTGTAAACATTTATTAGCTTATGAAATATGCAGAAATTAGATTAATTTCTCAAATTCATTAATACCATATATCAATATCATACTTTTCTACAGCCAATATCCAAAAATATATGCCAATATTCCTATTGTTTTTTTGCATATTGGAACCAATTATTGGGAGTTTATTTTTATATGCGGTTATAGATTTCTTGATCCAACTCTAAAATGCTTTCTTTAATGAAGATTAAGTTATTTAAATTCCTTTAAAAACAAGTCAATCCTTAAAACTCCTAGAAAAAAATAAACTTCAAAATAATGATAAAAAACACATCAATCGACATATCATTAAAGTCAATTACTCAAATAAATTTTGGAATTGATCATGTTTGTGAATTCCAATATAATTTTATGTTAGATTTAAGCTGAAATAACACTAGAATTAGTTCATCAGAATCATTGGATAAATCTGATGAACAAGAATTATTTTTTCATAATATCACAAGGAAAATAGTTTCTAGACCTGTGACAATTTTGAATAAAATTAAAAATTTAATGCTTCAAAAGCATATTCCTGAAGATAAGAAAGCAATATTGGTAAGAACCTATTTTACCTATGAAAGTATAAATATTATAGAAAAAGAATAACTTCCGCATCGGTATTTACATTAAAAATCCAAAGGAATTATTTACAGGCTTGGAAATGATACTTTGTTTTCTAAAACGAACATCTGGAGCAACTGTGACACATTTATCACGGAATATATTGAAAGTTGAATGAAATTAGCTGCATTAAAAGAAAACAATAATGGTTATAAACTATTGTTAAAAGGTTGTTTATCAAAATATAGTAGCATCATATGAATTTTAGAATATGTTGCTGATTAAAAATATCAAGAAAAACACTGTTATTCATTGCAACGTAATATTACAGATACAGTTGATTTTGAATCATTAGAACAAGAAGAGCAAATCCAAAATGCCACACCAAGTAAAAATTTGCGCAATCCTGATAAAGGTTTATTATAGGATACTAGTGAAAGCATTATTGGAACAGAAGATTTAATGTATCATTTGATAGAAGATGAAAGTCTAGAATGTTGGCCTGACTGGGTAGATAAAGCTATCATTAAAAATAAATTTCCTTCATATTTACAGATTTCACATATCTATCAGTTATAAAAGAAATTATTGAGATAATTTTGAATACTTTAATTTTGTTTATATGGTTATAAATTGAATGAATTTTCTTTTTTTATTACAGAAATTGCAGAAATCACAGATGGAAAACGAAAACATATCGAAGAAAATATGTCTAGTTGTAAAAAATACCTCCAAATCATAAACCAAAAGGGGAAAAAAATACCTAATACAATAGGGTTAATAATAGATATTGGAACATCAATAGAAATATTTGGCATATTCATATAATCCTAACTTGAAATACAAATGATCAGAAAGACGATATAGAATTTAAAAACACAAATGAATTCATAATTCAAAAATAAACTTCTTTTTGTAAATCAGTTTTTTTCTGTTAGCTTCAAATTAGATGAAGAGCATAAAAATAATAAATAAGATTTCAACTGAAAATACGCGTAATTCACAAAATATATTTCTTAAATCAATGTATAAATAAATTTTTTGCGATGGTTTTCTGAGACCGAAAGAATATTATTTAATTTTCTTTTATGACGTAATTCATCTGTAAGTTTTACACTTGTTGAAATTATTATTAAACATAGATGTGTATTCATTATCTTTTCTTAAAAATATTTGTCTAAAGAGGGTGCATTTTTTGACAAAAATGCTGGCTGTTTTGGTCATTTTTTTTAAATTAGTTTATAATTAATAGAACGAACATAAGTTCTAAATTCCAATGAGTTCATTCCTTTAAAGTATAAATAAAAATGTTACTAATGGTTCTCGAATCTGTAGTAGCTATTTCATAATTATGTTATTTTCATGATAATGAACTTTTCCTACTTCATGAAGAAAAGACCTAATAATCTCGAATACGATTTTATTATCTTCTTGGCTCACATAAAAAACGTGTTGATATATCACCTCTCAGACAAGATACCCCTTTAAAAAAAGAATGAAAGCCAAGGTATAGATATTACTAATTTAGCATCTTCAGTGCTTTTAAGAGGGTAAGCAACCACATCTCAGGCTGAAGAGACTGCATTTACACCTCTTGTTTAAAACTTCAAAGAGATTTGATTTATTCATCAGAGAGTTATTTAACATCAATAGTGCCTTTTTAAACTTCATGTAATTATAGTACTTAGAAGTTAGTAAAAGATACTGATCAAATATTAGTAGAACTAGACTTTTTTAATGCTTTATTTTTATTATTCTTAGTTTTGATCCGCCATCATGGGAATGAATTTTACAAGGATCAAATCAAGTGAGAACTAACGCCCTTTATGACAACACTATCAGTAAAGCCCATCACCATTTTCGAACCAATCTCTGGGAGTATATAGTAAACCAGTATAGTATAACTTATCAAATAAGTATGTATAGTAGATATACAATATGTATAGTTTTTTAAGTTTAAATTATACAGCACGTAGTATTTTTTTAGAATTTTTTACATGATGTATAGTTTTAATACATAGTATTTTACATTAAGTATAATTAAAATTTATTTTTATACTATTTATATAGTAATTATAAGCAAATTTGTCTAGCAATCAAAAACTTTGAACATAATTTTTTGAATTAATTTAATATCGATTTTGTATTGGCACTTCTAATCAAAGATCTATCATTCACTATCGTATCGATTATGCGATTATTCAGAATTGATCAGATCACGGCTCAAATCAATTTAATTTATTAATGTATTTTAATATAATGAGGTAATTAATTAATGAGAGAATGAGGCAATACAAAGGACTGTAGTTATTTACCAATTTGGAACCAATTTA